CCCACAGAACAAATGTATTTTGACATCAGCGGATGTGCTGCTGTCAGAATACCGGAACCTAATTGGCTGCATTCTCTGCTCGGTCAAGAATTTTTGAACTGGCTCCTTTGACAAATGTCAGTTTGTTCAACGTGGGTCCTGACAGAGCCACACACTGCTCGAGTCTCGGCTAAGTCAGCAGGACTCTGCAGAAATTTGATCAGTGTATGGCAAGATTTATTTTAGGGGTAGGTCATGGGCACCTCTGGCCCTCCAGCTGTGCTATAATTACACATCCCATTATGTCACTGCCTCTGGGAGACATACTGTACCTGTAACTGTCAGTCATGCAAAGCCTCATGGGACTTGTAGTACTTCAACAGCTGGAGGGCCGAAGTTGCCCACCTTTGGGGTAGAGGAAAAGGTTGTAATACTTACCTTATTCCTCACTGCAGTAAGATCCCGACCGGCCCCCTGAAGCCTCTTCTGTAAAGCACTCCAGATGGCGGTGGCACGCTGATTTTTATTATTACATAGTATTTATATAGCGCCAACAGTTTGCACAGCGCTTTACAATACAAGGAAGACATTACAGTTACAATACAATTCAAGACAAGATGGTAAGGAGGGCCCTGCCCCTGAGGGCTTACAATCTAAAAGAGGAGGGGGAAATGATACATGAGGTAGCTGTGGGAATGAATTATGTGAGAATGTGAAGGTTCAGTGGTTAGGTTGAGGTGGGATAGGCTTCCCTGAAGAGATGAGTCTTTAGGGAACGCCTAAAGGCAGTCAAGGTGGGAGATAGACGGACAGGTTGGGGTAAGGAGTTCCAGAGGATGGGAGAGACTCTAGAGAAGTCCTGGAGGCGAGTATGGGAGGAGTGGACAAGGGAATACAATGCAGGGCCAATAGCCTTGCATTGTACAGCAAACTCTCTGTTATCCGATATTCATTTATCCGGCAAAAGAAAATCCCCTGTGTACTCATTGTTCTGCCGACCTGCCACCTTCTAAGAGAGGGAGAGTGGGCTCTGAAGCATGGAAAGGTACAGGAATGAGCAGAAAAGTGCTGGATTATCCTGGGAATGAGTGTCTGAACGATCTCTGAAGTGCTGTGTTATCCTGGGAATGAGTGTCTGAACGATCTCTGAAGTGCTGTGTTATCCTATGAATGAGTGGCTACACGATCTCTGAAAAGTGCTGTGTTATCCTGGGAATGAGTGTCTGAACGATCTCTGAAGTGTGCTGGATTATCCTGGGAATGAGTGTCTGAACGATCTCTGAAGTGCTGTGTTATCCTGGGAATGAGTGTCTGAATGATCTCTGAAAGTGCTGGATTATCCTGGGAATGAGTGTCTGAACGATCTCTGAAGTGTGCTGGATTATCCTGGGAATGAGTGTCTGAATGATCTCTGAAAGTGCTGGATTATCCTGGGAATGAGTGTCTGAACGATCTCTGAAAGTGCTGTGTTATCCTGGGAATGAGTGTCTAAATGATCTCTGAAGTGCTGTGTTATCCTGGGAATGAGTCTCTGAACGATCTCTGAAAAGTGCTGTGTTATCGTGGGAATGAGTCTCTGAACGATCTCTGAAAAATGCTGTGTTATCCTGGGAATGAGTGTCTGAATTATTATTATTACATAGTATTTATATAGCGCCAACAGTCTCCTGAAGAAGCCTCTTCGGAGGTGAATGTGTTGAGACTGTGAGACGCCCTCTTCGCTACATTATTTTAGTGAGTTTTAGGAGGGTGGTTTCAGTGGAGTGTTGGGGGCGAAAGCCAGATTGTAAGGGGTCAAGAAGGTTGTGATCAGCTAGGTGGCGACTTAGGCGGCTGTAGATGAGGCGTTCTAGGAGTTTGGAGGTGAATGGGAGTAAGGAGATAGGTCTGAGATTATTGAGGTCGGTAGGGTTCATTGAGGGTTTTTTGGGTATTGGGGTGACCAGGGCATGCTTCAGAGGGGAGGGAAAGATTCCAGTAGAGAGGGAGATATTGAAAATGTGAGTAAGAGAGTGTAGGATAGAGTACATCATCGCTCAAACATCGTACTCAGCCACCTACTTAAATTTAAGTCGAAGGACTACTACCATTTACTAATTATATGTACAATTATTGGCTGGACGTTGACAGGGGGACGTCTTTTCCCAGACGTTTATAAGAAAACTTGATTTTGATGTTCTCTTTATACAGTTTTATTGCGTATTGTATATACTGGGATATACACTGAGGGGCCAGATTATTATGACCACCCCATCAGTACTTCGTTGGGCCACGAGATGACTCCATGAGATGACTTCGTTGGGCCGCCTCGTGACTCCACGAGATGTTGAAAGGTGATGCGAGGAATCTGACACTGCACTGTTGCCCTTCTGTTGTCTTGTGCCAGTCTTGCCACTCTCCGTTCTGCCCTAACATTGACTAGTCGCTGACGGCCACAATTCGCACGCTCAGACCCAGATTTCCGGCTGACAGTCCAGTCTTTAAACACTTTAACAACAGCTGCTCTTGAACATTTAACGAATTCTGCTGTTTTGCTGATACTCGCTCCATGGCTCCGAGCGCCAACAATCATCCCACGTTCAAAGGCTGTTAAGTCGCGTTGTTTACCATATCTTCAGAAAAAAATCACTCCTACTGTCGTGGTAAACAACCTGCTTCCCTATTTATAATGGTCTGGCCCTCCAGCAACTTCAGCGCAAAATTATAGCTAATTTGCCTACAAACGTCAGGTGGTCATAATAATCTGGCCACTCAGTGCATTTGAATGATGTAAAAAATAAACATACAATTTATTCTCACACATCTGTATACCGTAAAAGCCCAATTCTTTTATTAGTGTTCAAAGGGTGTGGGGTACAACACTTAGGCCCTGGGGTCATTTATCCAGGGGCAAAGGAATGAGGGAAGGATTATAGCTTATTCCTCTACCCCTAGACATAGGGAGCATTTAACCCTTGCAGTGCGATGGGGCCCATTTTT